AAAGGTCCTTCAAGGTAGAGAAAAAAATGTTTTCTCACCAGTATACTTTGTATCTTGCTCTTTGACTTCTTAGCATATAGCCTAGACACTGGAGAACATTCTGTGATCAAATGAGTGTCTACATTGAATAAAACTGCTTTATCTTTGATTCAATTCTGCCTTTACATAGGATCAACAGAGGAAATACTAAAAATTAAAGAGGTTGTATCATAACATTCTCCATAAGATTCCAGAAAAGGATAACTTGGAAATCTTCTTCGTTGTCGGAGTGGTCTGTTTCAAGAAACTGGAGGTGTCAGTGAATGGTTTGAAATGCTCGATTTCCCCTTTGAGTGGTTCAGTGCTGTAGAAAAACACTCACAGAAAGCAGCTGAACCAAGCAATATTGTAGTCAGGCTACTTTATGTAAGCTTGTTCTCTCCTTGTTCCATTAACTTCTCTGGAAGCAGTATTCTGAATAAATGAATTTAAGTAAGTAGAATGTAGCATCAATTTATTCAGTTTGTATAGAAAGATTTTGAGGTACATCATAGGCATGGAAACTATAGGATTCTGAACTAGCTGGGATAGAATTGAGGGAACTCTAGATAGTCGAGAGTTGGGGGAAAGAGCCCATTCTTTCAGGGGAAAAAAATTCACTCTCCTATGAAGAAAACTCTGGCATTTTTAAAGCTAGCCAGAACTATACTGTCATTCAAATGGAACATGATTATTCTGCTCCCTGCTTTATCTGAAATACTACAATAATGCCTCAGAAGAGCTTTTATATCCTATCTAAATTCAAGTCTGTCTAAGAGCAGAGAGTCTATTTAATCTCTAATTGGATCTTGAGTAGAACTAAAACATGCAGTCCTTACTGAGAGCTATTACTAAATGAATAAAAGTTTGATGTTTTCTTGGTGATGGTTCTATCGGAATTCTTTTCTAGTCCCTTCCTTCCCTCACTGTATGACCAGCATGAAGACTGGATCAGCAAAACCCAATTAAATATCATAAATTTACAGCTGGTAATTTTTCATAAAGAAGATAATAATCCAGATGAAAACTTGATTAACAATGGAATATTTCCTTAATATTAATTTCCTTAATATTACTTAAGTAAATTAAGTTAGGAAAGCAGCCCTTTGTCCGTTCCCTTCTGCATTGAGTGGGCAGCTAGAACAATGCATATACACTTAGCCATCGGTTAAGATGGTACATTTTCTGTTCAGAGCCTAGTCAAATCATATCACAACTGCGTAGGTGCCAATCAGTTACGGACTAAATTGGTCATCACTAATAAACTGGGAGCAATCTTATATTTTTTTAAAGGATTTCCTTCACACAGTTTGTGCTGGTGTTCTGGTGGCAGATATCTCTGTATTTGCTGAAATCTGTGTCAAAATAAGCATGTACCTATAGAGTTTGTGAAGGTGAAAGAGTCCAAATAAACTTCAACATTTTATTGCAGCTCTATTTCATGGAAATTCAAGAAGGCTAGCAGGAAATGTTAAACTGTGTATAATACGATTTCGTTACCTACAAGCACTATATCTAGTGGTAGGTATTGCCCCCAGGAATATGACCGAGCCACTGGAAGACAAAGCAAGCATCCGTGTCATTTCTTATAATCATGACAGCAAGCAAAAGAATGTTCAGAGGCATATCAGGAAACAAATAGAGTCTTTGTTTGGTTTGGGGATGTCTTCTGGAAGAAGAGAACATTATTATCTCTTAGCACCTTGAGTTACTATCAGCAGCTTGCTGTGAGACTCCTCCTTGGTTTTGTATTCAGCAGTGTGTGTATTAGCTTTGTCCATTGAAATGTTCTGCCCATTCATGTTTGTAGCCTTTTCTTTTTCTTTTATTTTTTTTCCCTTCTGCTAGCATTTGTTCACTTGGTATAGTTCTAATTGTATGTCTGTGTATACAATAATGTAATAGCAAGCAGGGTTCATGTTTCCAAAAGCATGTCACCTTTCTACAGCTGTATTGCAGATATATTGGTCTAATAAAAACTCTCTCTGTAATGCTTGTCTCTCTAATGCAACATGTCAGTGACTATACTTCTGCTAGAACCACTAACAGTGAAGAGGGAAAAGATTGTCCAACTTCTTGATATTTGTCGATGCCTTTTATTTTGCTCATCTCTAAAGTCTGGTGTTGTATCAGTATTGGTCTAAATCTAGTTTAATGCAGTAATATATTTTTGCTTTTGAAGGTGTCGTGTTCTCTTGGATTAGGCGTGAGATCAAAGCCTTTCCGAGCTAAATCCATTCTGATATAGATTTTACTACTGAAAATATGAGCAAGGTGCATGTGTTTTATTTTGATAATACACTTACTGTGTAATACTGTATTAATTTGTAAAATTTATTTAATGTCTTCCAAGTTATTTTTTAAATATAAATCCAAAGTGAAGTGATTTGAAAGCTGTCCATTGGTGAGGAAACCATAGACCAGCCACTTTCCAGATTCCTTTGGCTGTACAAAGGACTCCTTTCAGTTGTCTGCATGTAGCCACACAGTCCCGTATCAGATGCCTCAGTATATTCCATCTGACTTCCACTCAAGAGGATCATGGTCATCCAATTCACAAACAGGCAACTATGTTTAGATGCTTTAACCACGAACTGAATCTCTTCTTAGCTGACGGAAGAGCATTTTACTGCTTAATGAGATAAGGGGTTGCAAACAGCACACTGTTTAGTGGAGGTAGCTCCTGATCTTCTGATGTTACCTTTGGGCAGATGTTGTTCAGAAGGAATGAGGCAGCCTCTAGTGTAGTGGATTAAGTGCTAAAACTTTACAGGCAGAGTTACAAGAGGCATTGGGGAGGGAAAGTGTGAATCACCAAATGATTCAAGAATAAGATGGGTTATAAAAGCTGTAAAAGAAAGAGGTACTCTTCAGTGACATTAGCAGGAGAGATCCTGACAGCTTGCCTCAGAAAAGTGTTGACAGCAGACTGACTAAGTGGAGGAAGAGAAGGACTTCTAGAAGTTGATTTCCATACAAAGAGATGCAAGCTTTCCTCATTTATGGCTTTGCAAATATTTGTAGCAATGCTGTTTGTTCTCAATGCTGTAAATATGTGTGGGTTACTATCACTCGTCTTGACTTCATAGTGGTTTTAGTATGACAGGCATAGCATCAAAGCATGCTTTACACAAGGTAGTACTGAGTGCTTCCTCCTACTCTTTTTGAGCATGGGCATTTGTTCACAGAAGAGCTGTCTCTCCTGCTTCACAGGGTTTTGGCTGACCCAGAATGCAACTGTCAGGATGGCGTAACCAGTCTTGTCTGCTCTTTGATTATATCCTTTAACAGCATGTAACTAATAGTAGAAGTACAGTTAACTGTGAACAACCAAAGAAATTAACTTGATGGATTAGAATTAAGATAGCTGTGATTTCTGTCTCCTGTATTTGTAGTGTGAGTCTGTGGCTTTTCCTGAGCACATGGATTTTCCTCCTGAGCTGAGAAGAAATATTTAATGTATTAATCTAAAAACAGGTGGGGGAGACAAAGGAAACGCTGAGGAACTTCCTTGACATTTTTAATCAGCTGTTCTTGTCTCAACAATACATGCTTTTGTCACCATCAAGGCAAACTTTTATGCTCTGTTCTCTTTGGTGTTGATATGGTCTCAGATGACAGTCCTTGAAGCAGAACTCTGAATCTTTGGGTGGTATAAAGAACAACGTCAAAATGAAGGGATCTCACAGGTGCCCAACTTCGGTATCACCCTTGTATTCCAAATTCAGTGAAAAGTATTTTTTGCACTAGATGAGACATAATTGTTCATGCAGCATATGGATTGACCTCTGAATTCTTTTGCCTGTGAGAAAGGGAATTACCTTTATAAACAATGGCAGAAGGAAGTAGTAATTTCTGGTTTATATAAGTTTGGGTTTTTTTTCAAATCTACATTGCTATTATACAGCACACAAGGTAAATATATATTCTGAACTACCAGGTACTCTCTCTGATAACTGCCACTGTGGGACCTTGACTTCAATGTGTAGTCCTGTTTGTGGTATGCAAATCCTGCCAGCTGCAACCGTGAAACTCAGACTACTGTGTCTTAGCAGAGACCTCATGAGACTTCTTAGTCGTATTCCAGCTCTTAGGCACCATACCTAGAGTATGTCTGACATGTTTGAATTGGTGTTAAACATTTAATGAAGGAATTCAATAGCATTTTCAAGTAGCTTGACACTGTTTTGACCATCCTTACAGTCAGAAAGCTTTCTGTATACTCAAGCTGAGTCTTCTTCATGCCTTCGCTGCGATTGCCACAGGAAAAGAAAAATGGCCATTTAATTTTTGCAGTCTTTTATATTTTGGTAAACTATTTTCCTAGTCCCTCTTAGAATTTTCTTCTCTGAACTAATGAAACCCACCTCTTTCCTCTAGTGTTTTCTGTTGGTTATATTTTAGAAGTTCTGAATCCATTCTGGTTGCTTTCTCTCAACTATTATCTGTTTGTCTACTCCTTTCTAACAGATTTTTGGTCAAAGTTTACATCGTTGACTGCTTTTCTATCTGCATTTATTTTAAATCAGAACCTTTCATTCCTTTTTTTTTTTCTTTTCTGCATGACTTATCAATTCCCTGTGTTGGATTTTCATTTACTAAGGTAAAGGTTACATAGTTGGGAAAAAGTAAAACCTGTCTTGGTACATGTTTTTTATAGGTTGCCTGAAACCACAGAGTCTTTGTTTTCCCATTATTTTAACTTTCTTGAATCCTAGTAGTTAGTCTGACCTTGAAACAGAAATGATAAAATTCTACATAAGTTACTCTTTTAAACTGCTTGTCTAAAGCTGAAAGCAATTCTGAGTACTGTTTACAGCATTTCAGATACCTAAATTTTCTACATTCTCTTACAGTTATAAACCAGTGTTTAGCCTTGACCACAGGCAAAACAAAACTGCTGTAAAATGTGTGTCTAAGGAAAAAAAGTCTTTTCATGTTCTTACAATCAAGGCTGAATGTAGTTGTGTTGGTCCCAACAGGTTTGGATACTGTGTAGATAAACATCTGATGCCGATGTTTGCTGATGATGCCAAACTAGGAGGAGCTGTGGACTCCCTCGAGGGTAGAGAGGCCTTACAGAGAGATCTGGATAGACTAGGGAGCTGGGCAATCGCCAACCGTATGATATTTAACAAGAGCAAGTGCTGCATTCTGTACCTGGGATGGGGTAATCCTGCTTATACATACAAATTGGGGGACGAGAGGCTGAAGGGCAGCCCTGCAGAAAGAGATCTGGAGGTTTGGGTTGATGGGAAGTTGAGTATGAGCCAACAGTGTGCCCTGGCAGCCAGAAGGGCCAACATCAGACTATTAGAGTGTGTCCAGAGGATGGTAACCAAGATAGCAAAAGGTCTTGAGGGCAAGACTTACGACGAGCAGCTGAGATCCCTTGGTTTGTTCAGCTTGGAGAAGAGGAGGCTGAGGGGTGACCTCATCGCAGTCTACAGCTTCTTCAAGGGGGACAGTGCAGGGGCGGGTGCTCTTGTGACCAGCAGTAGGACACAAGGAAACGGAATGAAGCTGTGTCAGAGGAAGTTCAGATTGGGCATTAGGAAAAAGTTCTTCACTGAGAGAGTGGTCAGTTACTGGAACAGGCACCCCAGGGAAGTGGTCACGGCACCAAGCCTGTCAGACTTCAGGGAGCATCTGGATGATGCTCTTAGTCATATGGTTTAATTTTAGGTAGTCCTGCAAGGAGCAGGGAGTTGGACTCGATGATCCTTATGGGTCCCTTCCAACTTGAGATATTCTATGATTGTATAATCCTATGATTCTATGATCTAAGCTTTGGGTTACAAATTGGAGTGAATTTTCTGGCTTTAACCCAGCAATTAGCTGTACAGCCTCAGATGCAGTTTATGGATTTTTATATCTTTGTGGATAATTCAAAGTCGGTTGATTTCCATGCCTTAAATACTGGGACTTTTTTCTCCCCTTAGATGCATCATAAAATATTGAAGTTGATGACTTTCACTGCTCTCTGTTACTGTGTGCAAAACTTTCTAGTATGATGAACAAGAGATAGCACATTGTGTCTTTGAGAATAACCAGATTATTCTCTTTGTGGAAGACTCATGAGTTGCTTTGTGGTCAGCAGTATGCACTGGAAGGGCAGAAGGATCCCTGTGATTTTAGTAGTCCCTGAGAGGAGGCTCACATTGCACTGAAGTATGAGGCAGATGTATTTAAAAACTAAAATGTTGCTCTTGCAACCTCTGATTCACTTATGCTGCTTCCAAATAATTAACAGAAAGCACTGGTTTTGAACTGAACTCTGTCATCCAAGTCTGCAGCTTTCGATTTGCATCCTAAAATTGATCTACTTTTTCCTTTTTTTCATGGAAAAGCTAGTGCCATGGCTTTGAGGGCTAAAAGAGCATAGAAAAGATAAACTGGCATGACACGAGAGCCTGGTTATTGACTTCTCACACTGAAGGCTGAGTCAAACTGAGAGAAAGGGCTGGAGCATTCTTTTAAAATAAAATTATTCGACTCCATGAGGGAAAATCCTTACTTTACTTTAGGTTACAGTTCATTCTAAGAAAAACATCACTGGCTTTTTTGTTTTTTGGTAGTTTGCCTGATCAACAAAACTGAAGTTTTTGAATCTTCTAAAGGTTACTAAGATGCTGATGTAGAGGCCCAGCCTAAATGAGGACCATATCACTGAAATAAGTACACTGAAAATCTAATGTCAGTACCAAGTGGAAATTTGCAAGGATTTCAGATCTGTTTCTGATAACGTTGTTAGTCTGTGTGTTTAAGGAATTTGCAGCCTTCCACAGGCATAGAATAAAAATGACTAAGTGTGATTTCTAAATGGTTGAGCAAGAAGGGAATGGTCCGTAGAGCTGTAATCCCCAGGTATCTGCATATGGTTTTGCAACACTAGAAGTCTATTTCTGGAAAATACTGATGCTGGAAAAAACTGCCCCCAAATGGTTAAGGCCTATTTTCTTTCAGTTAAGTGCATTTTTTCTGTCTTTTTTCTCCCCAGGTAGCAGCTGCTGGAGGACATCTGAAATTTATAGTTTCCTATGACTTCACAGAGGAAGATGAGACAGTTCATTTGATGGTTCAATCTGATGTCATCATAGAGGTAAAGTGATTGTATTTTCAGCCACCAAAAAAAAAAAAAAATAAAAAAAAAATTGCCTGCTTCTTGAGATGTTCAGCATGAAGCCTGGTGGTTGAGGACACAAAACAGCAGGGTGCATGTACTTTCAGCTAATTTATAGTAACAGAAAATGGACACACTTTAGAGAACTAAAATCTTCAGTATATCAAGGAACCTCTGGCAATATGTCAGTAGCTTACAAAACTATATTCTTCTTGTTCATCAGGAGGAATGAAGAAATAAAATAATTGATTGAGGTAACACTTTCACATTCTTTCAGCAGATTTGTTCTTGTGCAGCTCAGCATTGTATGAATTTGCTTTTGCCTATGCAAAGCCATGACACTAGTTTTTAACTGAATAACCTCAGCTTTCTTTTGCAGTGACTTTCAACTTTATCAGGCAAACCCATTTCAGGGTTATGAAAGGTGAATGTTATTCCTGATATTTGTTATTCTTGTAAAATATATTATTCAATAAATGCTGTACCCCAACTGGCTACAGATAGAGCTTTATTCCTGACCTTTTTCATAGTTAAATGTTTCTCATGGCTCTATCTAGGGAGGTGGCTTGAGAATCAGCACTCCAGAAGGGGGGATTCACCTGCAGCCTTACGAAGAGCATACTGAAGAAATTGTGCTGAAACCAGAATCTTTCTCTGTGCATGGCACTGATGTTCCAGTCAGCAGGAGGGAGTTCATGACTGTCCTTGCAGACGTGAAGAGGATCCTCATAAGAGCCACCTACAGCAATGGGATGAATGCCATCTACAGGTGAATGTGGGGAACCTGTCCCTTTGCTGCAGGCAGCTTCTCCAAATACTTGTTTTCTCTCTTCAGAGTACTAAGCTGATGTAATTTAAAGCACACTAATTTATTATCATGAAATCCATAACATTCATTTACACTTTCAAACAGTTGTTAGTTTTTTTCTTTTTTTTTCATTTTGGGTAGGCAGGAGGAGGAGAGGCAACAGAAAGAAGCAGCCTTGTAAGAAAATGAAATCACATGGGCTATTAAGGCATGAATGACAGTTCTATAAATATGTTTATTTTGTGAACACTGTAATTCCCATGTATATGGTAAATCATGGAGTGCAGTAATGACATGTTGAAGTAAGAGATGATATATTGCTTATATATTGTTTTCCCCATTTAATGAGCATACAGGACCACATTAACAGTGGACTAGAGAATAATATCCTAAGTCTCTAAGCTGGAAAAGTGGCTTGAGGGGGAGTTTCTATGTTTTTAATCAGTACCACACAGATAACTGGCTAATCCCAAAGCTATTCCCTTGATTTATGTCAGGTTGCTGCCTGGACTGCTTAAAACCACTGATTCCATTTGAACTCTTCTGAGTCTTCTGATAAAATGAAAGACATTATATGAGATGACACAGTTGTTCTATCTCAGTTGCTGCAGTGTGGTTGAACCTGTAAATCTCACCTTGCATTTAAAATTTTCCTAAGTGCATGGGCAAATACTCCAGGTGGACTAGAAGACAGCCTCTCTCCTGATACTGTGTGATTGCACTGTCCATAATTAATAGTTAGATGGCATAAATAATATTTTTCAAATGTGCACTGAAACTGGTTGCATAGCAGTTTTCTACTCACAAGGCATGAAACCTGAAATGTTCTCTAACCTACACATCACTCGATTCAGCTGCATAAGTCAATTTGGAACAGAGGGAGCTGATAGCACATTAGTGATTATTTACTGAGAGTGTAGATATAGTTTTTGCTACTGTGAAATTTATTAAGCAGTCCAACCATTATTTGAATACTTAGGTAATTAAAATACATCCTAAATTGAAAGGCAGATTGTGTCAACAGCATGTAGTTTTCTCATTTGAGCTTTGGCAGTGTACATTTTTTCCCTGCAAAAAGAATTCATGTTTCTTCAATCTTTTTCTCTTTCTGTGGTTAATTAGTACGTATTACCTCTCTGTGAATAAGTTTGTAAATCATAACTAGCTTGAGTTTGAGCCGAACTGTTTCCTAATTTGCTCATTTGTTCATCAGTCTTGCATCCCTTGCATCCAGTTTGATAACCTTTCATGACCCATCACCTTCCCACCCTGGTGTTATAGGAGAGTCAAACCACCAGGCCAGAGCTCATCTCTTATGCACTGTGAGCAGACCATGAGAAGCTGTTAATCCACAGCTTAGAGCTGAGACTAGTGGGAGCTTAGTGAGTAATATTCCTCCACTCCGTTCTCATTCAAATAAAATGAAAAAAACCCTCTAGTCAGAATTTTCCAAACTAAAGGAGTGCAGGAGCAATTTTGGGGTGAACAATACAGGCTTTTATGCTATGCTGTTTTAAAGGAGATATGTATGATTGACTTTGTTGGGGCCAAAGGTCTTACTAAGTATTATGGGAAATGCAAACTTCAGTTGTCAGTGGTTTACATACATCTTGCCTCTACTGTGGAACAGTGTGGGTAGGACGGATCAGATCCCCTCTGGGCAACAACACAGAGCTCAGGTCGGCACACACATGTAGAACTGGCACAGTCTATAGTTTGTGCCATGTAAGTAAGAAGTGGCAGACTCATCAGTGGCACGTTTGGAAGACGATGCATCGCCACCTGCATCTCAGATGACTGCTTTAGCCATTTGGCCATGTGTGGTGCCTCACTGTTTTGTAGTCTTGTTCATATTCAGCCTTTGGAACATTTTAGTGTTGTGTTATAGATAACTTTCCGAAAAAATGTCTTGGAAATATTCTTCAAGAAGAGGTCTGGCACAAACATGTAATTTGTGCTTTGCAGGTTAGTAGCCACCATCTCCTAGATGTAGTGACATTACAGTTAGGAAGGCTGGTCCCTTAAAGACAATGATTTAAAAGGGAGTTAGGGGAAGGAACTGAAGTAATTTTGAAGAGTACTTTTTTTGCTAGAAATGGTTTTATATTACTAGTACATCTCTAGCTGTCCCTATGATGTCTCTTACCAGAGAAGAATGCAATAGTTACTGTATTACTGTGATTACCATCAACATGTCCAGAAGTCTCTGAAAATAGTTTGCTCTAAAGTAAACACATTTTACTGAGTGCTGTCAGGCTGCTCATTGCAGTTCAGCGTGACAGAAGAGAGGATATGAAATTCCGAACACAATTAAATGAATTGGATTTTTCAAGTTTGATTTAACTGGAGGAATCGTAGTTTCACCCATCAGGGTGGGATTTACTGGGTGGAGTTAAATCTTCTTAGGACTGTGCATGCTCCCAATCACATGAAATAGCAACATCTACTATCCTCCAGCCCAGCTTATGATCTGTTGTTGTGACATATTGCTGATTTTCAGGGTATGGCTCAGTACTAACTTTATGTTCTCTTTGCCTTTCACTCATGCTAGAACACACTAGATGCAAAGCTGTGCTCATAACTAACTCTAAGATCATGCAAAACAACTCTTTTCTCCGTCTTCTGCCCCTTTAGTACTGCACAGAAGATGTCCAGACCCAATGAAAAGGATATTCTTGGTGGTATCTTGGGCTGATTAAGGACTACTGTTGATAGGCTCCAAAGGAAGACATTTTTGCCAAAGAAATAGTGTAGACCTAAGCCTTAGTAGATAAGTGGATATGAGCTAAGAGTTTTTTATTATCCTTTAAACAGGTATGTGTGGTGGACAGATGGATATTCTTCTGAGAGAGTAAAGAGGGTCTGGCAGAGAGACAGAAATATTACAGGGTTATTAGATCCCTCATGAATGACAATTTCCACCTCAAAGCATCAGAAGAATTAAGCAACATATTAATTAGAGATTGCTATATTAAGCAACCTGTTCATTTAAATACTGGAAGTTTTCAAAATGGATAACGACACCACATGTGTAAGGATTTCCAAGGGTACTATTATAATCTGTGCTTGAGAAGAGGCCAGAATGGAGGCGTTGTAAGATTAAGCACTTTTCTTACAGTCAGGTAGAAAGAGACTTAAAAATTCAATGGAGTTGTCTCCAGTTAGCAAGAGCTTTAAATTAAAGATTATATTTTTCACCCTTGTTTAGTTTAACCTACTAGAAACATCAGTTCATCAGTAGCAATTTCAAGTAGTTGCTAAACAATAGTGGTAAGTTTGACATGAGCATGTTTCTGAGAACATTTTTGGGGTCATTTAAAGCTTAGAATGTTGTTATTACTCTATGGCATAATTAGGGAGCTTCCTCAAATACATGGTCTTTCATTTAGACGATCAAGCAGAAAAAAAAAAAGAGAATACAGAAATGCAGCAATCGATATGAAAGTGATTACAGCTTCTGGGTTTAAATCAAGATCCTACTCTAACTTGACAGATCTTCCAAACTGTTGCAGTTAAGCCCGTGTGTGGTAGAAGCAACAGGCCAGGAAAAGACAGAGTGCTCTCATAATTTTGTTTAATCTAATATTGTTAGCTTTTGCCTCAAAATAAGTTTAGTAGCACCGTTTCTTCAGTTTTAATATTCAGAGTGGCCACTGATGGTAAATGTTGTAGACACTCAGATGGGCATTAGAAATTGTGGTGCTAAAAATACTGGACGGCTTGCAACCACATACAGAATCAGTGCTAGACGCAAGGAGAAAGAGGGAAGGAAAGGCCGAGGGTTTTCTTCCATATGCAGAATTGGCTTAAAGACAAATGAGCAATGATTGGGTCAGTACTTCATGTGCCTTATGTAGCTGATGTGATTCAGATGCCTGGCGTAGCAGACAGTAAACTATGCTGATACTGCCTGAAACGTCCCCTTCCCTTTTAATCTTGTTTGTTTTTAGAAGTCAACAGTTGCCTGCTGACAGTAACAGTCAGCTTAAATATTTGGTCTTGATGTCGAATCTCAAATTGTTCATGCATCTCCAGGATCCAGTGCCCCATTACTGCCAGCATTATGTATTTTAATGAATGCAGAATGGAATCAAGGAATCAAAATTGCAACATCAAAATGGGAGAAAAAAAAAAAATCACTGCAGCTTTCTTCACTGAGTAACTGTTAATGCTAAAAACTGTTAAACACATTAAAATCCCATTTAGCAAGTAGCAGAACCTAATGAAAATTGGAACAATTCAGTGAATACAAATGTGGGATAATACTGGGCAGATTGTTTCTGTGTGTAAGTGCTTCTCTTTGTTCCAAGATCTGTGCTAAGAGGGGACTAGCTGTAGTTCAAAGGATAAATAAAACTTGGCCTTTTACTAGTAATTTGTTTCTTCATTTGAAGTTTTTTTTTGTTGAATTGTTAGATTTTTTACTGTTAAAGTCATCATCATTTGATATCTAATATCCTGGAGACTGATTATCTTATTGTAAGGAAAACTCAAAAGGATGATTGCAAAGTAAGCACACAGCAATGGAGTTAAGGGGAAATACTGAAAAGTGAGAGAGATATCTTACTGAAGATCTGGATAGGATCCTTCTCTTAAAATAGTTTCAAGAACCTTTTACAGAGATTCTAGTATCACCAAATTAGATTCAAGTTTCTAACTGCATAATCCACAATGGCAGTCCCTCCAAAGGCCAGTTGTATCCCTAGTGATGGTAAAATTTCTGTTTTTCTGAAGCTTCTGTCCTAATTTCAGAAGTCTTCCTTTTTCTCCCCATACCTGTCATGGCTGTCTTACTGACAGTAGTCGTAAAATTGAGTGTGAAAATATCCTGTCTTAACCTTTCCTCCAACCACTGCAGCAACAATAAAATATTTTCCTTGGATGATTTATCCAAGGTCATTCAAATAATTTTCAGGATTTCTAAATAATTTTCAGGATTTTTTGGCAGTCAAAAGATAAATGTCTTAGTATGGAGGGAAAAAAGTTTGGTTTACATTTTCCAAAGAAAATTGATTATTTTTTAACAAAATGCATGCCATCATAGCAAGATATTTTCTGCTGAAAAAGACTTTAGAAGAAGCTTTTTCAGGTAGCTCTAGTAATCAAACACTCTGTTAAGATTTTTGGGTGAAAACAGACGTCATTGAGCCTCTGTAATGCCTTAATGTTCCTTCTGAATTCTCGTAAGGATTAACTCCCCAAATCCCAATTTGTTTCCCCAAATGGATACTGTTGAGGTAAACTATTAAAATTATCAAAAGACTTTTGTTGTTTTTTTCATCATACTTCCATGGTTTTTTAAATAAAAAAAAAGTTCAGTGTTTGGCTAAACAATGGCTGTTTAGCCAAAGTCGAGCATTTATTTTTTAAGGGCGATTGTACATGGAACCAAAAATTCTCCAACTCTGTCTTCTCTGTTATTGGGAAAACCGAGGTATATGGTATATCGTAGATGATTTCCTTTATCTTTCATGTACATACCTGTTTCTTTTGTACACATAATACTCAGATCCTCCTGGACAGAGCTGAAATCTTTTTCAGAGGTCAAACCTCCAGAATAAAAATACCGTAAACTAAACCTTAGTAACGTAATGTTTTAGAAAGCTCGAGTAGTGCTTTATATATTTTGAAGATACTACTTAGTGTCAAATTTGCTATATATACAGCTGCAATGCAAGTTGGCACATGTGGCTTGCAGGCCAGGAATAGCCTTCCATCCACTCATATAGTGCTGTGAGATGTTTTTAGTCTATTTTTATCAATATGCATCTGACCATAGTCTCCCTCACATGATCGACAAAAAGAGTAACAAGTCTACAGACATGTAGTTTAGGAAGAGATAGACGAATATGAAAACCTCCTTATTTTTAAACAGCTAAACATAAACGAGCCACCGAATGTCACTGTATACTGTTTATTGTATCCAGCTGCACATATACTTCCGTGTAATTTGCTATTTTAACTGTTTCATTTCTGTTACGTCCAGACTAAGAAGCGTTAGCATTGAAGCTGCTGACCACACTTCAACGGGGAGAAAGGTGGCATCTGCAGTGGAGTTATGTGACTGTCCCCCGGGCTATGATGGTACCTCGTGTGAGGTGAGTACCACGCTGCAGCCTACATCAATTGTGCTAACACTGTGATAGTGGTAAGCAACCAGTGGCCCTGTGTTGGTAGAAAATAGTAAGACAGCTGTCCATTCCTGTTAGGAATTTGGTATAGCTTGTCGAGTTACCTTTATTTCTAGGTGGTGGTTCATTAGATTTGATAATATGTGAAATCTGTAGTTTTACACCTCTGTGGTGATTTCTAAGTTACGAAAAGACATTTCTCCTAATAAAAAGAAATTGAAAGCAATATTTGTATTCTTCAGCCAATTGATATTACAAATGCATGAAACTATCACAATTAGAAGGAAAATGCTAATTATCTGACCTCTGCATAACAAAGCCAGATCAAATTATCCAAGTTAGTGTGGTTGAGTTTTCCTTTTCGTTTTCCCAGGCCTTTGCCATTTGTCTTGGAGTCTTTGAGAATCGCCTGTGTGTTCTTGTGAGGATTGTTTCACTTTAGTTTGGTCCTGTTACAGATAATAACATTCACACATGCTCAGAAAATACCTACTTTCCGAAGAAATTCATTAGTTCACACAGAATGTGTTCATACAAGTGTACATATGATTAACTAGCTCATGTGGGCATAGCTTGAGGTAAATTGAAGCCAAAAAAAAATTCTTCAAAAGCTTTGCCTTTAAGGAAATAGTTTCAAACACCAAGATGCTCTGCTTCACAAAACTACAAACAGTATGCCATTTACACAGGCACTCTAGGCATTTGCTTGTCAACTCTCTTTTTCTTTAAAATTTTCCATGTTTATATGTGATATTTAGGGCGTAGAGTCTAGTTTCATGCCAAATGTGGTTGCTTGTTGCTGGAGCTACATAAACTAATGTAGAAGGAAGGCCTGAAGGAATTAATGGATATTCCTATCACTTCCAAAATGGTACAGACAGAAAAAAAAAAACTGGAGAAGAATATTGCCTGCCTTGGCTGAGAAATAATTTTGAAGTCTGAATATTTTCTGTCTGTTGAATTATTCGAAGAAAAAAGCTGGACGAAGTGTCATTGTGCTTCACACTTTTTTTTTTCCTTGTCCATGTCTCCTCTCAATTCAGATTTAAGTGTGATCTCTCAGAAAGCGTTTGGAAAGACCCTGATTGCAGATGTTTCAATATCTACTTTTCTTGTAGAAGCTGAAGGACTTGGGTAGAATTCTTACCTTGGTGTTGCTGAAATTCTCTGTCCAGCATTGTGCCCTTCATTGTTAAACCTTCTCTCCAATTCAAAACAGCTCCTGAAATTTTATGTATACTTAAGATGATATTCTGCAATAGAATGTATGTATATAGATAGCTGCAAATTTAAAAACTCTGTGCCCAGTAGTGGGCATGGACAGTCTTTGATTCCTGCCCTGGCTGAGTGCTAACCACTGACCTATTGAACCAAACCATATTGCAGTCCCTACCTGTGTGTTGATTTTCCTCCTAAGACTGAAGGCTGAGAAGATATGATAGACTTTTGCATGAGCACACTTTTCCTGTGTCTTCTCACTAAATTTCAGAGCATTTTTGACAGCTCAGAAAGGCCATTTGACAAAGTTGGCCCATCTTACAATAACAAAGATAGAGTTAAAAGTTTTAGTTTCCATGCCTTTATTCATTGAATTAATTTCTCATAAGGCTTTTGTAGCAGAGGTTCAGCATGTGATATGCATTGAACAATTGCGCTTGATAGAAAAAAAAATGGGGTTCTGAGTAGATGGTTGTGCTTTTTACTACAAGGACAAGTAAGAAAAAAAAAAACAGTGAATTTTTAGATTTCCAGACAAACTAGCAGTTGAGAAAGTGGATTTTATTACAATACCATATTTATTTCTTCTGAATACTTTTGGCCTTGTCCAACACTTCGCTTCTTCCAGTTTCAACCTAGCCGAGTTTCATTTTTATTGACTTTGTGTAGGTTTTCAGTTTCATTTTCTCTTCTTCATTTAATTTAATGTGTGCGTTTCTTGCATAATGATGTTGTGGTACCTGGCATAGAGGCTGCAGCACTAAAACCAATCATTATTCACTTATTTTCTTGCTGTGAATGTTTTGGCACTATCAATCTTCAGAAGAAATGAATCCCATTTAAAATATGTTGTCTCTTGTGAGATTGTTCCATTACACAAATTTGGAATTAATTTTCTACAAGATCCTAGTCAGAGAAAATTGTTATGCTTTTGCTAGTATAGCTGAGAAATGAACACAGAATTGCATGAGCATAGGTAAAGCAGATCAAATTTTAAATTTCAAATACCAATTGGACTCATTTGTGATAGTTTCTTTGCTCTACTCAAGTGAATCTTCTGGCCTTTATTTTCCGACATCTTCACATCTAATTGCTCTTTTCCACCAGATTTTTTTCCCTTTCTATCTATACTTTTACTTCCACTGTGGAAGAAGTTGTGTTTAACTTGCATTACCATGATGGTCAAGAACTTTCCTGACTTTTGAATGTTACATCATTTCTCTTGGTTTTTTTTCTCTTGATCCCAATATGTAATCTCTTATTTTAGTTCTGTTCTATGCCTTGCTGTTGATGTTCTATGTCTGAGCCCTTAGAATTAGTGACTTTTGGAGCCTTATCTTGTGCAATATCATGTATATCTGTGCAGGAGATAATTCTTTTCAGAATCACTTAAAGAGGAAAAAGATTTATAGATTCAAACAGAAACAGCTTAGGCAGTTACATCTCATGCCACAGGGGGGAAAAAAAAGGGTAATTTCCTTTAACCTGTTTTTCTTTTTTGGATTTTATAACTCTGAATTTTAATTTTTAGTTTTTATGGGGTTTGTTAGGAATGCATAAATGCATAACCAAGAATGAAAAGAAGGAAAAGTAAGCATAATGTCTCAGGTTTTGGAATGTTTTTTTAAAAGAATCATTTTAATTCATCTTCAAATTACTTTCACCTATTGAAGGAGCAAGACAAAAAGGGACATTGTCTTTATTTTTACAAAGCAGAATCTTCTTGTTACCTTTTTGGAGAGCATGTATGAAGGGGAAGGGACTTCATTAAATGATACTTCTAGTATTCTATCACTAGAAACTTTCTCTTTGTATTAGCCAGGTGCTTTTGAAGGTCAGCACTCTGCCATGCACTTTTTTATATTATGCAAAATCTGTGGATCACATGAGCAGTCTTAGTGAGGAAAGGTAGTTTGCAAAAACTATAAAGCCATTTGTGAGATATATAGTAAGGAAGACTGCTGCTTGACATCTTATTATGAAGAAATGGAATAGCTGAATTTTCGCTGATGAATCACAGTTGTACGATGTCACCTTTCCTGAGAAAAAACTGGCCATGCATTTAATATTGATCTGAATTTAACATTTAAAAAATAAAAAATCAGAGCACTTTCTTAAAGGGAAATGACTATACCTTATATTTAAGAAGCACAATTTGTAAAGAAAAGGATGGCTTTGTTTTCAGCCTTTGTTTAATTTCAGTGCAGCCTGTTGTTAGACTCCAAACAAGAAAGACTAAATGGTATTTTAATTGCTCTTTGAAGATGAACTTCTCAGAAAAGGTTTTTGTTGTTTTGGGCTTTTCTTTCCTCCTCTCTCCTTCAGTGTTTTGCCTTCTGGCTATTTTTTAATCTGTACTTCTTTCTTTGATGCTGTCATATTTCAGTTCTTCATTTCTCTGCTTTATTTTACCATTTCAGAAGAATGATTAAGTTAAGGCTTCTTCTAATCTCACACCTGCCAATAAGGCTAAGGTCAGTGCAAAGCCATAGGACTAGGAATAACAACTTTCTAGAGAAATGTTGGTATTTTTATTAATTTGATAAGTATGTTTTTGTGTGTGCAAGTATCAAATTCAACAATATTTTAAAAATTTCATTCCTTTCTCTGTTCAAGTGAGAGCTTAACTTTTTATCTGATTTATCTTGCAGTCTTGCTGGCCTCGACACAGGCGTGTGAATGGCACAATTTTTGGTGGAGTCTGTGCACCATGTAGATGCTTTGGTCATGCAGAATGGTGTGATGATATCACAGGAGAATGCCTGGTAAGGGTCACTACAGGAAACTTGATGGGCATGGCCAACATCAATTCAATATACCTGTGCAATTGAATTAACAACTTCTGAGACCTGAAATGCTCAAGGATAAAAAAGCCAGTGATTAACAGAAGAGATCTTTATGTTGAACTGTTGCTGAAATTAAGGATCCCCTCATACCAAGATATGGTAGCTTCTACAGTTAAACAAAAGGAATTTTTTATTCACATAGGATTTATATTTTGAAATAGAATCAATGGTATAAAGTATGGCATGCAGAAAGCAGCAGATATATAAGTATTCTTCCATGCAAGATTTATCTCCCCCTCCCATCTGTCTCCTGCAGTGTATTCAATTTATAGTACGTAGCAGGTAACTTTGTAATTCTGTTCTAGTATGACAAGAAGATATTGTTAATGGCTTCCTTCATCTAAATTCCTACTAAAACTTGAAGAAATGCTTAATGAATTGAACTCTAGAAAAATAACAAAAGCATATGATTTGGGCTAAACAACTTTTTTTTCTTGTAGGTCATGGAGATTTTGTGTAGTTACCTACTAATTCAGCAATTAAATCTGTGATATTATCCATAGCAAGCCTACCAGCACACCAATATTACCAGCCCGTTCAGTAGCCTTTTGGAGTGGGTGAATTATGCTGAATAGACTGTTCTGATCAACTCAAGGGCATTTTTAGTTTTATATTGTCTGACATGGCATGAAGCTTGAAACAACATGTCTCATTTCATTAGTCTTGCAGAAACACAATTTGAGCCAGTGCTAGTTTAGTGGGATATCATACCCTCATTTCCCTGCAGAATTTCAAGCAGATTCTGTATTGTGCATGTTTCTAAGTGTTCCCTTTTATTTCATTAAAAAAAAGCTGCTGGGAAAAATCCAAAAAGAAAATTCAGGCTTTTTTCAATGTAATTTGGCACTTAGAATTATCACTGTTCTTCCTGTTTTGCCCATACAAAATGTTTAATTGCATTGCAGTGCAAAACAAGATATCCTTAATGTGCGGACCAGTGAATTTTTCAAATTGCTTTTTCATGAATAGAAGCTTAAAATGATTCTCAGTTTAATTATACTATAAGCCTTAAAGAAGTACCTAGGATGAAAAATATGTATGACATGACAGTCATGTTTTGAATCCCTCACTTACATGCAGTGAAAATGTTTATCACTAGGGTAATACAGATTTTTGTTTCTCAAGAAAGATAAAATTTATTGCATTGATGACGGTAGCCTTCAGCTATGATGTCTATAACATCAGTGTGGGAGAAAATCAATTAACAGAAAATAAAGAGATTAGAGAATCCTGTTAAAGGCATATCATAACTATTGACTCTTTTGCTTAGGGGTGCATAGCCAGATGCAAGTTCTGAGGTTGCTTGCTTCTGTGTCTTCAAGTTTTAGCCCTTGCATAGGTTCCCTCTTTACTTTTGTCTGTAGCCCCAACCTGGAGATGAGAGAAGGCCATGTAGCTGCACACTGTAGTGCTTTTGCTCTTGCCAGCTGATGCGAGCTATTGACGGAGACAGTAGAGCTTGCCCCTCTGATATTTCAAGAGTGCTGGTGTAAGGAGAACACAGCACTGACAAGGAAGTGGAAAATAACCAGTTGAAAAAACGGTACTTTAATCTAGTTGTGTTATCAAGCATGCTGTATTTTATGTGTTCTGTCTGAGCTTATGCTCGATCATGCTGTAAAGAAGAGGCACACAGGGAGCTTAAAATCAGTTCTGGATTTTCTTGCAGCTTACCTTGAGAACACTGTAAGTGAAGTTAGACTGGTTAGTATCCATGCAGGCTATTAAATGCTGCTATTCAATTTGGATCATAAACCTTTTGAAGTGAAAGAGAGAGAAGTCTGAATGCTGAAAAAGAGAAATGTTTCACATCAAAGGCATTCTTTCTATTGAGGTTTACACAGCCTTTTGGCCTCATTATTATTCATGGTGTTTTTTCAGTAATACAACAGACAATTTAGGCACCTAATTTACTGATATGATACTTCTTTTTGCTCTTCCTTAGCTTTGAAACGTAGTTGAAAAGCAGCTGAAATATGTTTTTGACTCATGATAAAAGCTCAAATCATCTGCTTCGGCATAGGCCTGTATAAAGCTCATTTTAATGCATATCTTGCAGTAACCTGCAAAGCCCTTTGATCCCCACAGCAACCGTATAGAGAGCTGCATGATACATCATTCTCGTTACCGTTGTGATATGCATAACTACTTTGGTACATAGGGCAAGTTCTAACGTTCAGAAATACTCTTTTGTAGTGTTACACACACACATTTACAGTAGCTTTAGGAGGCTGGTTAAACCTAAACCTTGTGAAAAGCAAACACATTTCAAGGTGTTTCATTCATTGCAGGATACTGTGTTCCTGTTAGTAAGCCCAGAGAAAGCAGATCTTTCTCCCCTAAGATATGCTCAAATTGCTAAGTAGGCAGTCCCCAGTGGCTTCCATTTTGTATTTTATCCCTTTGTATGTAAAAGGCATATACCATGTAGAATTAGACAGTGTTCATCACAGGAGCGACAAAATGTCTTCACCCATCTTCATATACACAGTAACAAAATGATACATCCTAAGCTAAGTGCAGTATAGGCTATACAGGTGAAAATTGTGTAAAGCCTCTGCAACATCCTGATTGCATATGTAACACCAGGAAAGGGCATCATCCATGTAATCTTGACATTATGGTAGTTTGAAAATGCCAAGAGAGCGTATTCATGCTTCCAAACACGTAATACCATTGTCTGGTCTAGGTGGCTAGGGAATATACTAAAATAGTCACCCAGGCTTAACCTTTTGCTTTCTTTAACTAGCTTAAACTAGCAGCTTCCCTGGTTGTCTCTGTGACAGATATCCTGAGGAAGGGTAGCAGCATGCCAAAGGTACTATCTTGGTCTCCGTCATACTCCCTGATTAAAGCTTTATTTTTATCACTGACCTTCTATTCAGACTGTTTGTTTCCATATTCATATACACTCAGCTGCATATGCAGCTAAGCAGGAGTGGTTTTCAGTGTGAATTTAGAATTCCCTGATACTGGGCATAAAGATGTTTATTTGGTTCCTTCCAAGGGGAGAGAGCTGCCTTGGTGGGATATGGTGGAAAACACACTCCAGGATATTAGCAATAAAGTCTTTAGGCAACAAGGTCTGAGTGGTACCTAAAATTTTAGACAAAAATAAATTTCACAGTCTTACTTACTCAGAGGTTGTCTAAGTGAGGTTTAATGGTGATTGGAGATAAAAGAGGTCCAGAAAATTGGTGCATTCAAAGTAGTTTGAGATTCCGTACCTGGAATTTGAAAGCATAAAGATTTGGACATAAAATCATTCCTGGCCACAAAGTCTATGGATCAATGGAACAAGGCATTGATTTTACCAAAACCACTAGGTCAATATGTTGGAACAAACTATATTACCAAGGGAATAAAAAGAAAGTGTATGTAGTGTACTGAGCAGGTTAGGGACGATTGATCACACAGAAAAAATAATAAAATGTTCCTACTAACATGAAATTAAGACTTCACAGGCTTAAGCATGTTTTAAGGAAATAATCTCAGTATAATTAGACAATACTCAAACTAGATGATGTTCAAAACCATTACTGTGCATTTGGCAAGTTTCAAACTGAGATTCAACTAATTGATATCAAGAAAACACAAATTTTTCATTAGTTTTGATTATATCTTTAGAAGGGCTAATAGCTCATCTTCTTCAGTACTTAGTGTGATCTAACAATTTGGCGAATTTGTATAAAGTTTAATGCATCACTGAAGAGAACAGGCAAATTATGTCACATCTATGTGCTACATAATCCCTGTTCTTTGTCCTGCAAAATCCAGACTGGCTCAGGGAGAAAAGTATAGGGCCGCACAAGATCATTATTTCTCAGCTAAACTCTAACATATACACAGTGCAATGCATGCTCAGATTTTGCTACTATATGTGTGGGGTTATTTTTTTTGTTTTTAAATTTATTGATTCGTGCTGAGGAAGTAAGCAGATACAGAGATCTGGATTGAGGAGAATTAGACATAGTACGTGGAAATGACTGACATTAGAGTTTCAGAAAATAATTCATCAAAGAGAAGAAGTTCAGCCCTTTGCAACATGAATTGTTTTCCTACAAAATGGAAGGTCTGGGATTTTTTACCTAAAAAACCAGAAGCTGCAAATACCACTCTGTAAGAGATGTGTAGCTTTAAAATGGTGTGTTAGCTCTTCTCACTTTAATAACATCCTTGTCATATAAGCTGTTCATATTCTTCAAAAATATTAAGATATGTCTGAGGATATTTAAAGCTAAACTTAACACAAAAGAAGAATCTATTATTTTTCAGAAAAAGTACAAATAATTTGACATGATGCCTTTAAAAAGTTGAATTGCAAAGGATTTTTCTTTTGAAACACTTAAATTATTTTTGTCACATCTTCTTTTAAAAGCATGTCTTAATGTTCCCAGTTACTTTTTCAGTATGGCTGGTAGATTCTTTTTGAATGACAGCACTTGAAGTAACAATCAAATGGACTTAAATGACCTAGTAGAATTTAACCCAGCTGATGGTTCTAAAGCCATAATTTTATTTGACGAAGCATCTCAATTGTTGGTATTAGCTCACAATCTACCAAATATGTGAAAATATAGTATTGTGACTAATGCTTTCATTTCAAAGATGTGCTGATTGTATACACAAGCAATAAGAATGCACCCTTTAAAACAGCAAACAGCATTTCTGGAGACATGCTTTTGACTTCAGTGTGCTCATGACTGAAAAGGGTATTGTGCTTTTTCGGCTGCCCAAATGTATGGTACTGGCTATGCAGAGCACAATGCAAAAAGCTTTGTGCAAATCATTGCAATTCTGGAAAGCTGTGAAGAAGAAATTGGTGTTCCTTAGAATAGTGCCATTTTCTTTATCGAGTATACATTACATATTTCAGACATTAAGGCTGTTAAATATCAGTCAGTACCATATGCATGACTTATTAAAATGAGAAAACAAATCTAAAGGGTTCTTAAAAATATTTTAAATTAAATCGTAAGTTTGGAAATACACCTTTAAAAAAAACAAACCTCAAGAATTCTTAAGCAGCAGCTTGGGTGAAACAGATTCTAGATTTGATCTGACCCACTGTCTAAATCAGATCAGAAGACACCTCATTAAATAAAATCTCTCTCATGGATTTCATTTTGGCCTTTTCAAGTTGCCATATGCTTCTTCAGCCTATACTCAAGCACATCAAGATAGCTTGTAAGAGCCAAAAACATTTCTCCTGCTTTCTCCATTTTTTACACTGTGAAAGGGCTACAATTGGCTGTCTTGTGGCAAATAGCAGTGAAAGGAATAGCTTGGTTTGCTAACAATGTGGCAAAAAAAAAGGAAGGAGTTAAAGCCAGAAAACTAATTTGTCGAGACTATCATGGATCCTGCCAAATTATTTAGAATTTCTAAATCCTATATGGTGAGGAGGAAGACGAGTAGAAGGGGTAATTACTCTTTAAAACTTGGTTCTTATAAGTCATCATGTGAAGCCTATTCTCAGAGGACCAATTACCTTTCTGCCAAAAGATCATTTAATTTGAGATCAGGCAAAGGTTATATACGAAAATGCAGATCTAGTGCTGCCATTTTTGTGTTGGATGTTTCATGTTATCCTCAGATAAACTGTCTCTTGTATTATGAAAGCTGGTCATATAGAGGAACACAAACTATTGGATAGGGCCCCATATACAATATACTCATCGTTGTTTCTACTCATAGAATAGAGTCTGGATGCTATTCCAGCAAACAAGTCTTAAGTAAGTAATTCAGGCTTTGCTACTGTTCACAAATATATTTAGTATACTGCTAGCCATATACCTTGTAAAATGAGCTAATACATTTAGAAGTGAAATGTAATGATTAATTTTCACAGATTATATAGTCTGGGCTGTATTTCTGGGATCAACATCTGAAAACTGTCGCAAAATGTGGCCTGTTGCAAGATTGCAATACTAACCTGTTTTGTGCTGCTCTGAAGGCTGGTTTTCTTTAAGCAAGCTAAAACAATTGTGCAGCTGCTGTGTGGTGGAAAGGTAAAGTCTGCAATTAGATACTCTTTTTGGTTTAGATAGAGAAAAATTATCCAAAAGAACGCAAATACCTGACACGTATGAAGCACTGCTTGTGACAGCTAACCTTTAGAACTGTTTCTCAACAATCAGCAGAAAATTAGAATACATTGCAGACCTCTTACAATCCTGTTGAGAGGATGAGCTAGGTGAATGACCTTCAAGGACTTTCCATATGCAAGTTCTCTAATTGTGAAGTTGTACTTTCCATCTTCTGTTTAGGACTGCAAACACAACACAGGTGGTTCATATTGTGATAGATGTCTCCCTGGCTTCTATGGTGATCCTACTAAAGGGACAGCTGAAGACTGTCAGTTGTGTGCCTGCCCCCTAAGTGTACCTTCTAACAAGTAAGATGTATATTTATTGCATTTTTTCTCTTAGTAAATTGCATAACTTTTTAATTTATACTTTTGCATGTACACTTGAGATTTTTTTCTGGCTGCCTTACTTTCCTTTATTGAAATTGAACAAGCGAGTCCTTTTTTTAATGTTTAGCTTTCTTGAAAAATATAAGTACAAAAACAAACACAGAATATAAATGTTCTTGAACTGTGAAACTGTGGGAGTCCTGAACCCTACAAAGTTTTGCCCTGCATCAGAATTGTGCAATAGCTTCCTATTTTTAAAATGGACAAAATCAAAACTGAACATCCTCAAACTCTGTAGAACTCATTTTAAGGTTCAAACTCTCATGACTTTACAGTTCTAGACCAATTATTAAATTTGTTTCTGAGGAAAAAACAAGTTGTTAAAGATTTAATGTGTTACCTGAAGGCTGTTAAAATGCTCATTTTTCTTTCTTACTTAGCTGGCAGTGAGTTTGGTATGCTAGCGATAATATATGTGAACAATTCAGATTCCTTCACGCATCCTTCACACCAAAAATAAGGAAGTTTCTACCAAGATCATGTGACTGTACAGATGTAGTATGTGTCATGTTATTTCTGAATAGCCTAACAAGTGACTAATTTACATACAAATTTTAATTCCTGTAGTATTTAATTCCTAACATGACATGACAGAGCATCTGTAGGTCTCTAAGCTTAATACTAAGTTCCTGGTGCATAGAGAATATTGCCCATGTAATGAACCTCTGAGATATATTTTTATTAAGAAATTAGTTTTGTCTTTTATAGCAGTGTCTTATTTCTTTATGATGTTTATAATGATTCTCATCTCTGTTTTCACAGCACTTGGGTCTTTTTCTTTGCAATACCAGATAAGGTGAAGGAGAACTGTTCTATCCACTTTAGAAATGTGGTGGTGATGGTGTTGTTCTATAGTTAACTTAAGCTGATTTAACTGCTGCAACTGCTGCTCGTTCCCTCTCCTCTTTCCTAATGGCAGCAGTTTCCATAGGCAATCATTGAAGCCAATCATAAAACTGCCTTCCGAAGCACAACAGTGATAAGTGAATTGCCATATGTCAGAAAAGAACGCTTGGCCAAATTGGGAATCTAAAATTATCTAAGCTTGTTTTCTAGATCCTGGGCTATATTTTCCTCTTTGTGCATATATCTCCATATTTGTACTTACATGATGCAAATGAAAGCAATACCCATATTATAAATGCCATATGTAATGCACACTTGACTTCTTTGTCTTACCTCTTCTCATTAATGCATCACTGTTACAAAATGTTCTAACCTTCTTAGTCTTTAAGGAGTTTCAGGTAAGCTGATTTATTTTTTCCATAGAAATTATCAGACATACAACTATATAATTCTTTCTACCAAATGTAGATCTCTGGGATAATTACTGCTTTTCTCTTGAAATTGTGATAAATTTAATATCGTTAATGAAGACTCTGCTGGGAATGTTTTGTCACTGGAAATGGGAGATAGAAGATATGTCACTCAGCCTGGGAAGGTCACAAGTAAACTCATAGCATGTGAACTAGGAATTTGGGTTTGTCTCAGAATTTTAAAATTTTCTTGGAGAATTAAATAAAATCACAAAATTATTCCCAAGAGCTGTTTTCTATAACATACTTGTAAGCCTTTAGGAAGCCCCGTCTCCCAACGTAGACTTGTCACATATATAACATACTGTGTATTCATACTTGTCCCATGTCCTGACTGGTATTAATGTTGTTACCTTATGTAAAAAATGAAGAGTGATGATGAATCAAGAGGGACTAAGATTTTTTGAAACTTGTTTTGACAGATCAATACACACTGTTCATTAGTATTTATCACTAATGAGTAATGAGATTCTAAATAATCATGAAGATAAACTCTTCTTTTCTCACCCTGCTATGATATATTTCCTTTATAATACGCAAATGGCAATTTCTCAATATATTAATGTTTAGTGTTGAGATGTGGACGGACTATTAAGTCAGAAAAAGAATCAAAGGGTGCTAGGTTTGAGCATAACCCTTAAAACATGGAAATTCTGCTATTCATTATTATTGCTTAGTAATATTAAGTACTTAATTATTATCTTCAAAATTTATGCAGTTGAATTCAGAGCTCTTGATGAAACTGTGGTACAGTCAATCTTGTGCAATGCTGTAATGAGCTGTGATAGCATCTCCACAAAGTTTCCCATGTAGCTCTTAGAAAGAGTGAGGTGGGGACTGACAAGCAGGATCTTATTTGAAGTAAGTCAGGTTCTGCTGATTAGATTCAATGATAATGTGTGCCTCAGTTGAAAATTGCTTTCATTGCTATTTAAAAATAGAATGAACAATTATCGTTTCTTCAACTGGCTCCTCATGCATTAGTGAATCTATTCTTAACTGAAGGACATCGCAAAATAAAACAAACATAATCCTTACGGGAAAGAGGAAAATCCCAATACCTGTCTATGTTTACTGGACCTGACTTTCCCACATTTTTCTTACTGATCTCTTATGTCTGTGGCATAAGTTGCCCTATGACAGACAGGGTATTTATAAATGGAAATAATCTATAACAGAAACAGAGTAACTGAGGTCAGATCATAGGATGGATGACTCCTGAGAAGCTCTTCTGTCTTCCCTGTGCCTATTATTTTCCAGAAACTTTCATCATATATCCTCCTATAATTTATCCGAGGTCAGATTATGTCTATTTGTTATTATTGTTGCACGAAGTTTTACTTTGATTATGCCTTCCTTCTGATGTCTTTGTTAGAGCAATTATATACCTTCCTAACTTTTTCTAGGTAACAAAAGGTAAGTTTAGTGTCTTCTTTTCAGATAGGTGCTTTGTTTTTATGTTGTGGATAGTCACCCCATCACCCCACTATGCACCTGCTCCCATTCTTTTTTTTTTTTTTTCCTTTTCTATTTTTCTATTTGGTCAACCAGAATTGATTACTGTTATTTAGATGAGGCCTTATAAAGGTGCTTATATGTCTGTCTTTAATAATCATTCCAGAATTGTAGAAGAACAGGTTGCCTCTTCTGCATGCTGTCTTTTAGAGTGTCAAGAGATTTCCTCACAAAAATGTGTTAAGGGAGAAAGTTTGTGGAAAGCAAAATGCTAAACAGTGAAGGAGCATAGTTCAGAGTTAAACACGGACATCAGGAGGTGGAACTTGCAAATACCTACAGTACCCTTATTTATTAAAAAAAAAAAAAAAAAAGCTAAAAATAAGTAAAGCATAGCAAAGAGGTAAAGCTTTCTACTCCGCAAGCTATTCTTAAACTTCAGCATGCCTATCTGGCCTGTTGCTTGAGGTCATTGGCACTTGATTTACTCAAATGCACTGTCTGGGAAGCTGCACCAGATATTTCCCTTTTTGCCCCTCCCCTTTCTTGTTCACTGGGTTCCTTTCACAGCCAATTATACACAAAGTTAACTGAGCTTTCAAATCAGTTGTCCTTCAGAAAGATTTATACAGGGGCCACATTATGGCATAGATTGTTTTGCCAGGCCCTCAGGGGCACAAACAAACAGCTGTACATTCCTGCCTTTTTAATGGTATCCAGACCACTCGGTGGCAGGCTCAAGTCCCGTAATAACAGGCTATTGGGATGCTGCCATCCGTTACTCTAAATTCAGTGTCGCAGAAATAGCAGAGTCATTCCAAATTCAGTTTGCTGGAGTCAAACTTAAGCCCCATGTCCTAGACCAGAATCACTTTTCCTGGGCACTGTTTCGCAAATTAACGATCTCTGAAGTGGGAAGAGAGTTATGCTGCTAACCATCTTTTCTTTATGTTTCTTTCTTGTCCCTCTTCTTACCCAATATCAACAACACAGCTTTAGCCCAACATGCCATTTTGACCGAAGTCGTGGATTAATATGCGATGAATGCCCAGCTGGGTACATGGGACCACGCTGTGAAAGGTAAGCAAGCACCATGCTTTTAACCATGTGAGATCTGAAACAAAAGTACTGATCACATGGAACTATTCTACCTTTATATTACTTCCCTTTCTTGTCCCCATTGCTGTGTTGTGAGGCTCACTGAAGAAATGCCTGAGAATCTTTCCCTGGTACTGTGTCCATGCATTGGTATAGTTCTAGTGCTTGTTTTATTACTTCACGGTAAAGTGCAGAGCTTCCAAGTAGCATTTGCTGAGAAGTAAGAGTCTTTTTAAAAAATTATTCTTCTAGCTTTTCTGTCACTCTTCTGAGATTTTTATAATTATTTTGTCTCTTCTGTCATTTGAATATTTAGAGCATGGTGAATCAAATATGCAATGAATTACTGATGCCTCTTAGACAAGTCAATATGCAGTGAAAATACAGCTCTTCTAACAAGTTATTTGTTGATTTTGCTTATTTTGAAAAATAATATTTTACATTTTTGTTGCTTCTCATTTCCCATTGCAGTCTTTATTTAGCAAGTAGAACAAAATAGGTTTTAAAACAAAACCAATCATTCTTCTTTGTCAAATACACAGAAAAACTTGATATATATTTCCTACGTTTATTACTACCTATACAAAAGACAAATTAAAAAAATACGTCTAGTCTGTCTTTGGCTATGACAGGTTTGAGTGATATGTTGGTACTGAAAGAGAAAATTCTCTCCCCTTCTTATATCCTGTTATTCTGAGAGGATAACATGCCGGATTTACATGAAGCAGAAGGGTAGTGTGCGTGCTGGTGCTAAGCTCCTGGGAAGCCCCTTCCAGAGGAGGTGAGACTGCATAGGCAAGGGACATCAGCACTGTGTCTGCACGCCCTCAGTCCCTTGGGATTTCACGCGGATGGAACAGCTTTCAAGAGCAGTTAGCGTGCCAGGGGACCTCTGCTAGTTGTTTGGAGGTTGTGATGAATCAGCGTTGGCTGTGGCTCCATGATCCCAGTCTCCTGTGACCCTGCAAATGATACCTTTTTAAGAGGGGCTGGGGGAGCCAGATAACTAACACCTGGCTAGACAATTGTGGGGCATGAAAACATGGCACT